GGTGATCTCTTGGACAAATCACCCTCTAGGACGCCAAGATAGGTTCGGCTAGGAAGGGGAGGAACAAGGGAAAACAAGAGCTTTTCCCCATGGACCGACCCGTGATGCGATCCTACGCCCGGGCCAATAACAAATGCACTACAAAATAGTGCTGATTGATATTTTCTTGATGTTAATGGAGGTCTTGATTGATCAAAACAGAAAAAAGGAAAAAAGATGGAGGTCCTATGCATTCTTTTTTTTTTTTTGAAAGGTAAGATAAATTTTATTAGAAACCAGCAAGCTTATAGTACAACAGCTCTCTAGCTTCAAAGAGAACAGCCAAGAGGTCCTACGCATTCTCATTCACTTATTCGAAGAGAAAGCTAGAGTTAGGGCCCAACCAAAGCTTTCAGAACAAGAACGTAGTAATGAATAAATCTACATCCTCGAGGATGTTCGTTGATAACCGAGCAAGGTCTCCAGCAAAATACTGAGCATGGGTTATGCTTTCATCTGGAAAATTAGAAAATTTAGAAAGAAAATCAGCCCAAAAGTCAATAGTGAAATTGCTTGATCGTTGAACTTCATAGTTATGACAGTCAGGCCACCTTTAGATGTTGACATTGTGTCACTTTGCAAACTCTACTTCCCATCTAATGCTTCTAACTCTGACAAAGGCTGTGTTTGTTTGCGGTGTAAATACAAAATTACACCAATGGAGTTTAACAACTGCCAGATTTCTGAGTGTAAAAAGCAAATTGGCTTTATACTTATTTTAAACTCTTGTTCGTTTGGATGATTGATGTAAAAGGTGCATTGCTTAAGCCTTTGATTGCTCAATCCCTATCCTCTTTTCTCCACTCCAACATTGAGCATGATCTTCAAAAGCCTAAGCCACAATTGGGATTAAATGCTTTCATTTTCATCGTAGAACAAGAACCCCTATTTTTCTATGATGAAAATCAGTGGATGAATGATGAATTGGTGTTAAATATTTGCAAGACTTTAAAAGGGAAAACATGAGAAAGAACAAGAGCTTTGTAGGATTTCTAGATGAAATCTGATAACAGGAAAACCCACGGAAAATCAATTTCTAGACGAAATTTGTCTTTGGGATTGAAATCTTCAGTATATGTGACAAGAGCTTTGTAGGATTTAGGCTTATAGACTGAGACTCCGGCCTTGGGATTGAAATCTGGAGCTTCTTTGTCACAACTCCGAACCACGTGGTTGCAGAAGCTTTTCTCTTGTCCAAGACATGTCTGGGTTTTCACTACCGACCAACTGATTCCATCTCGGAATCTTGGACATCACGTCGTGGTGGCCGCCAACTGACTGAAGCCGTGATCGTGATCACAATCGGACGACTGAGGTCATGGTGGCTGTCGCAGTCATGGTTGTTCTTGGAGTGAGAGAGAGAGAGAAAGAGAATCACATTCATGGACCCCCTATTTAGTAATGTTGTTCATTCATTCATCCTAATAAAATATCTTCTTAAAAAGCAATTAAAATTATAAAATCATTATTTTTTGTTTGAGAATTAAGAATTTAAGACCCTAACATGGACTTGTTTGGGCTTTGCCTTGAGGGGCGTGGCACAAAGGTGGCTTGTAGAATCAGTATGTTTACATCACTGTAGCTACTTGAAGTAATGCAATTGAGAAAAAAAGAGATTTTCGGTTTTACATGCTTGAAAATGTTTTATATGTTTGATTTTATTATTAAATTCTCATTTGAATATGCTTTACATGTTATGTTTATGTATTTTAATTTTAGATAATAGTTTTTTAAAACATTTATTTTAAAATTTAAGTTTATATTTTTTATTAATATTATGTTTAATGTTTTTTTTTTTTAATTTTTATTTTTTTTTGAAAATTTTGGCATTTTTTTTTATTTTCTGACTTTTTTTTTTAGCTTGTTTTTATTTTTTATTTTTGCGCCTTGCTTCAAAAAGGGCACACACCTTGCCTTGCGCCTTGCTTCAAAGAGGCACGCGCCTCGCCTTGCGCCTTAGGCACAAATTGACCCCTGCGCCTTGTGCTTTTAAAATACTGCACTCACCAGATTCATGATGGAGAAGCAGCGGCGCTGACGAAGATTGAAACAACAGGATTGAGACGGAGCATTTTGGAGGAGAAGAGAGCTATTATTGGGAGAACTACCTTTACACCGATGGAGAGACAAAAAGAGGTTTTTACATTGATTCTCGATGTACAAATACGATTAAATGGTTGTGAGACAAAGAGGGGGGGGGGTCCTTGGAGACTGAAGCATTATCTGACAGAGGCTTGGGATTCTTTGAATTGTTTGAATGCTAACATAGTTTGGATTCCTAGGGAACAGAATCATACTGCAGATGGCCTAGCTAAATTTGGTGTGTACTTGGAACATTTGTATAGCGACAAGCTTCCTCCGTTGTAACTAGTAGGGGTTCTTCCCCTGCTTTGTATATCTCCCCTTGTTCCCTCTCTTTTTCTTAATGAAATCTGGTTAAATTTTCTTAAAAAAAAATTCTTGATGTAAAAATCTATCAAAAAGCTCATTTACATTGATATTCATTGTTATTTTACACCCCAACCAAACAGTCGTAAAACTGAACCAGAGTGTAAGATTACATTGAACCAAATTTTACACCGCTTCCAAATGCAGCCAAAAGAACAGGCTGTAGCTCTGGATAACAGCAAGGTGATGGACCCTCCGAGGCTCCAAAGACACTTGCATCATACCTACTGATTCTTTACCTTAACGAGCTATTAGCATTTAGGTTATGCCTTGACACTAGCATCTTAGAAACAAATGAGTTACTTCCTCAACAACCTTTTTTTATTGGAAATGGTACTTCCTCAATAGCTCCGCTGCTGAAAATAGTCTATGAATAAAAAACTCATGTCACTCGAATCATATCTAGTTGATGAGCATATCTAGTATGAGCAATATACCCTATACATTTTGTTACATAGAAGCAGTATCACTGTACTGCTTCTATGACAAGGCCATAATCTGCGTCAGCTGCTAGATATGGATGATAAGTTCCTAAGGTATGATTTTAAGTTTTTAAGTTTTTTCTTTTCTGTATCTTTTATGACAGTCATAAACATGTCTGTGTGGCCTATACATTGATCACAAGTTTCTTTGGCAGCATGGAAAATTTTTGAGTGTTTGCAGATGTTACTCTCTTTTAGCTTTTACTTTTCCATGGCCAATGGTCCTCATGCTAGGAAAATTTCACTTATTTTCAGTGAGCAAAATAATTTTGCACTGTTTTTTATTGTTATCTTTGCAGGGCTGCTTATAAAGGTTTTGCTGATTGTATACGGCTTCTTCTATTTTTGGATGCACATAGAGGACGCCAGGATAAAGAAGGTAAGCTTCATCTGTTCCTTGCTTAATAATTACTTAACAGCTTTAAATAAGTTAGATTCCACTCTTTATGTTTTTTAGATTGTTTTGTATGAGTGTCAATGTTCCTTACCCTTGTTTTACCTTATTTTTTTTAGGTTGCACTCCCCTCCATTGGGCTGCCATTAGAGGGAACTTAGAGGCATGCACGGTGCTAGTGCAAGCAGGGAAGAAGGAGGACTTGATGGTGACTGATAACACTGGATTTACACCAGCACAACTTGCTTCTGATAAGAATCACAGACAAGTTTCTTTTTTCCTTGTAGGTATTCCATAAATGAAGAGATTTCCATGTTTGTTCATGGTTTTACTTGAGATATTATTCAACAATTTGTTACTCTTCATTCTAGATACTTAAGTATTAGCACTATAACATGTGGGCTTTGACACGAGTTATTTTCTCTGGGTGACACAAAGTTGCTTTCTGATCTTATGCCAAACTGGAAGAAACTACAAAAGGAAAACACCATGATCTACTTATAAAATAGGAAAACATGACAGGATAAAGAACTCCATAGAGATGTTTCCTGATTTTTTTTTGTACTGATGAATTACTTTCAGTTCATAAAAGTCGGTTCAACATGAAACTATTTACTTTTAAACTAGTATCTAAGAAGGAGATGGAGTTCGTGCAGCAAACAACTTGGAGAAGATATTTGAAAGCTGAAGCAGAAGACCTGCTATTTGAAAGGATTAAAATGAAAGGAAACCTTACTCTGAATATCAGAGAGATGAGGAAAGCTGTGATACTACTGGTTGGGTGTGAAGTGATTGAATGGTTCAAACTCTTCGTGGAGGGTGCACTTCAAAACAACAGAGAGGTAGATTGGAAAAGCTCAAAAGAAGTGGCAGAGAGAAGTTATTTCACAGAGACAAGGAGGAACAAGAGTAATTTCTTAGCCGTGTTTGAGTTTTTTGAAGGGGGAGGAAACAACTGGTGTGTTTGCCTGAAGGGGGAATGGTTCAAGCTGGCTGGAAATCAAAGATATATTGTAGGAGTTTTTTAGTCAGATGGAGGAAAAGAGCTAAAAAAGACAGATGAAGAGATGGGGGAATCGTCTAAGGAGAAGGATTTAGGGGCAAATCTTTGGTGAATGGTTTGGGTGTTGGTAAAATTCACTAAAGAAACGAGAAGGCAGATTGGGGAAAGTAACTAGTGGCAGTATTGAAGAAGAGATAGCAGCAGCTTTAATTAAAATTTGAAACTGAAGAGCCCTGTTTTAATACACCATTTGGAGATTGCAAAGCTGTGATTGACTTGTTGGAGGATGAGTTAGATGTTAATGCAGTAAACTTTCAGTTAGAAAATGAGCTGTTACAGTTATGAGATGATCCCTTGTTTCAGATTCAAAGGATTTTGAAGTGCTGGATGGAGTTATGGTTCAAATTGCTAGGCTGCCATTCCACCTGTGGAAGACAGAGGTCTTCAAGTCTATTGTTTCTATATGCAAAGCTCGACTTGCTGGTGTTTTCCTTTTAGACCTCTGGTCAGCGGCCATAAGTCTGAATGGAGATAAACCTGAAGCAATACCAAGGAAGGTCAAAATCTATGCTGATAACTGCTTTTATTCAGCTTGGCTCTTGACCTCCAATGAAGCTACCTGTAGAGGGATTCCAGAAGAACAGAGGAAGAGAAGATAGAGGAACAATACCTGTGTGGAAGCCAGGGATTAGCTGATTTCAAATTGGCTGAGATTTACACGGAAATGGAAGGTCTGGGAAAGAAGAATGAAAAAGAGATACTTACAGGGGACACACTTGGGTGTGCAAGAAAAAACAAAAGTAGGGCGGTGCAGAACCTACACCCAAGCTCTGGCAGGTGGAGTTATTACAAGGCCAGCTGTTCAGCAACCATGTGATGACCTCCAAAGAAACGCTGTAAATTTCCTTCACTCTAAACAAATACAGCTCAACACTACCCGTAACTTCAGATCTGATGTGGATGGCGAGACGACCTTGTATTTTGATGGGAGTGCTTTTGGAAACCCAGGTACAGCAGGTATTGGAGGTGTAATTCGAAATAGAAATGGTATCAGTTGGGCTTTTAGTGGGCTGATTGGAATTGCCTCGTCAACAAAGGCAGATGTCTTGGCGGCTCTAACCAGCATCAGGATTGCAAAAGACATGGGTTTACGAAGTCTTACCATTAAAGGAGATTCAGCCAACACCATTAACTGGCTTTCTAGTCCTGACAGTGGGCCTTGGGCCTTAGCTCACTACCTAGCTGAAGCAAAAGACATTCTTGCTTCTTTAAGTGGCCAGGTGGTCTGGATTCCAAGGGAGCTAAACTCTGAAGCCGATAGTGTAGCTAAATCTGGTGCTCACAGGGATTTTCTCTTTAGTGATAGCTCTATGCCTTTGTAATTTTTTGTGAGTTTTATCTGTCGTGTACATTGCCTCATGTACCTTTCCTTTTGAATAAAGTTAACATTTTTCTCAAAAAAAAAAAAACCTTAAACACTCTTGGGCCTAATGCTAGACCTAGGGGTGGCCATGAGATGAGCTCTTCATGAGCTACTCTAGCTCGGCTCGGCTCGGTTTCAGCCGAGCTCGAGCCCAATTTATAGGCTCAATTAATAAATGAGCGGAGCTCGAGCCTACTAGATCTCGGCTTGTGAGGCTTTTGAGCCGAGCTCGAATATATATATATATAAATTATAGAAAATAATATATATATATAATAAAAATATTATAATTCTTAATTTTTTAAATATCAAATAAAAAATATTTTATGTATATAATTTTTTATTTTTATAAAACATTTTTTTTCTCAAGTTGAGTTCAAGTCAAGCCGAGCTCGAGCTTACGAATTTTTGACTCAAGCCAAGCTCGAGCTCAAGGTTCTAGCTCGAACCGAGCTCGAGCCTTGTAGTACTTTGGCGAGCTGAGCTCGAGCCTGGTACTATTCGGCTCGGCTCAGCTTGAATCCACCTTGCCTAGACCGAATGGGCCAGAACTGGTTATACTAGATGGATGCCTGATAGAAGAACTGTTGGTCTTAAAGGCATGCTTGAATGGGCCCAAATCTTTAGAAACTGTGGCCGGGTGGATTTTGAAACTGGGTGGCCAAAGCCGGTTTTAAAGGCATTGTCAATATGGGCCTGCCATTGGGCTCAAATTCTTAGAAAATAAGGCTGGGCATAGTTTGAAACAGGGTGGGGTATTTGAAGTAGAGAGAACACGTGATCATTTAAGTGAGCATGTGAATAGGGGAGAGATGGTAGATCATTTCTCAGGTCTATCATCTTCCCAAACAAACCAGATTTGAAACTGGCCTTCTCAGGGGAAGTTGTGGTGGAGAAACTTGCCTGGAGACTGAGGTTAGTCTCTTATTCCACAACTTCAGAGCATAGAAATCCTAGATAAGAACGAAGGGAAGCAGAAGAAGATGATTATGAATCAGATTGGGTAAACTGCAAAGAAGAAAAGGAGAAAGAGGAAGCTTATTATGTGGAATCTAGCATTGACAGTGTAGAGAATAGTTTGAAGAAGAGTTTCCTGTCCACAGCAAAACTTGGGGCTAATTTATTGTTTAGAGATGAGCCATTGACTCAAATTGAGAAATCTTTGGAACCTTGGAAAAGCTTGGGTTTGGAAGGTGATCCCCAGGGTGTGGTGAACACAGTGACTAAAGTTAGAGGAGAACCTGTACTGAGTTTTTAGAACAAGGATAGGGTGTCCGTAGTACGAGTAAATCTTCTCCCTTCTCGGACGGCAAAGCTATAGATACCCCCACTGTGGACGGGGTGTCTCAAAAAGTTGTGGAATTAGGAGTTCAAAAGCTGATAATTTAAGGAAGAGACTCCATGATGTTTCAGAAATGAGATAAAAAAGTTTAGAAGGCTTTCAAAGGATATGCAGTTACTGTTCCTTTGGACTCCAAGGATGACTAACAGTCTTGCAGATCAATTAGCAAAACAAGGGGTTAACTGAGAGCAGTGTTTTTGGGCCCAGTTGTTATTATTAAAAGGAAAAGTCACTTGTTTTGTTTCTTGGTTCAGTTGTAGGGGGGTAGTCGAGGCTGCTCATGTGTTGTACTCTTACTTTTTTCCTTAATTAATAAAATCTATGTTTTTTACTGATAAAATATATTATACACATTCAAATACTAAATTGAAGAAAATTATCAATTCACCTACGTGGTTCAGTGGTCAAATGAGACCATGGTCTTTGTAAACATGAGTGCTAGGGTTCAAATCTTCTCATCCTCAAAGCATTTTGGGATTTATTTTAGAGCACTGATTCTTTAGTCTGAGAACAGAATCATGTTTGGTAGACCCTTTTTTTTTAAATCAATTTGTAAATAGAAAAACTCAAACCATCTCAGAATTACACGTACAAGTACCTATCATAACTCATTGTCCACTAAGAACGAGGTTTGCAATCCATTTTTTCCCATAAAAAAATATCAAGCCTAGACATTATCCTTATTTAATGATCAAAATAAACCAGTAAGAATATAGCCCAACAGGTTACTACGAGACCGCAACCACATGTAGTGATTGCTAATAATTGGATCCTTCTCTGTGATTGGTCGGGATATGGTTCATTTGGAGGAATGATGGGTTCTTCATTGGGGATGTACTGATCAACCCATGTAAAATCATTTTCATGTGCCTACAAAATAAGTATTATATTCAAATAACATTAATTGATCAATTAGAATGATGAAAGAAATGCATGAATACAACACATGAACTTACCACCACAGACGGGCATTTGTAAAACCAACGGCCATAATTCTGTTCAGCCCTGGCCATAAATAGTTGCATCCTCCCTTTTGACAGGAACAGATTGGTCTGTCAATTTTTCCTTGCATATCTTGAAGATGTATATACATGCACACAGATGAACCCAAATTTCAATGAAATGTCACAAATTCGAGTAAAATTAAAAAAAAAAGGTCAAATGTCAAAAAAGTGAACAGTCCATCTGCCACATTGCTAATTGATTTGCTATTTCAAAAAAAAAAAAATCAAATGTCACTCAAATGTCAGTTCCCAAAATCACAAACATATTAATCAAAATAACAAATAGACAGGCTGGTCTTATATTTGTTCATATCCATGTGCTATCGCTAGTTGATTTGCAATATTACACCGAACTTCTGTCATATTTTGCACATGTCTATCTGCCACATTGACATCGCCATTGCGATTAATCCCCCCATTGTCATTGTTGTCCTCCTCCTCGTCCTCCTCTACTACATGATTTTCATTAGTAAACACATTAGATAAGTCATCATAATACTTGTCTCTCCTT